AAGTCTCCATTGAGAAATCGGGTGTTATTCTGATGGGTTTGCCTTTATATGTCACTTGGCCTTTTTCCTTTGCTGCTCTTAATATTCTTTCTTTATTCTGTACGTTTAGTTGTTTAACTATTATGTGGCGAGGGGACTTTTTTTGGGGGTCTAGTCTGTTTGGTGTTCTATAAGCTTCTTGTATCTTCATAGGCATTTCCTTCTTTAAGTTGGGAAAGTTTTCTTCTATGATCTTGTTGAATATATTTTCTGTGCCCTTGAGTTGGTATTCTTCTCCTTCTTCGACCCCTATTATTCTTAGGTTTGGTCTTTTCATGGTGTCCCAAATTTCTTGGACATTTTGGTTCATGACTTTGTTGGCTTTAGTGTTTTCTTTGACTGATGAATGTATTTCTTCTACTGTATCTTCAATGCTAGAGATCCTCTCTTCCATCTCTTGCATTCTGTTGATTATACTTGCATCTGAAGTTCCCAATCGTTTTCTCAGATTTTCTATTTCCAGCATTCCCTCTGTTTGTGTCTTCTTCATTTTTTCTATTTCCCTTTTCAGGTCTTGGACTGTTTCCTTCATTTGTTTCATTGATTTTTCTTGATTTTCTCTCAGTATTTTATTGTTTTCTTCCAGGACTTTATTGATTTCTTCTAATTTGTTTGCCCTTTCCTCTAGTTGTTTACAGCGTTCTTCACATTTTATTTGTCTTTTCCTCTACGCAAGCCTCTAGCTTCTTCATGATGTCATTCATAAGGCTGTTTTCTTCTGCTTCTTCCAATTTCTGATGTTCAGGTCTAGGTGTTGGAGGAGGGCTAGGGCCTGGTGATGCTGTATTGCTATTCATTTTGTTGTATATGTTTCTGCCTTGACGTCTGCCCATCTCCTTGTGGTTCGTTCTTGGCCTTATCCGCACACTTGGTTCAGACAGACCAGTGTTCCAAAAGGGAAGTCAGTGTTCCAAAAGGGAAGTCCGGAGCAAGATGGGAGCTGGGGGCCGGCCTCTAAGTCTCAGGAAGAGGCTTGGGGCTCAGGCGGATGGGCGTGGGGGCAGGGCGTGGAGACTGCAGGGTCTGCCAGGGGTCTTGGAGAAGGGGATCCTTCCCGGTGGGGCTAGCAGGGAACCTGCCCGGTGGCCAGAACCTGGGGCCGAGTTGGGCAGGTCTTCCCTGGAGTGGCTGGTGCCCAGGGATGGGGTCTGGGGCAAGGAAGGGTACTCACGAGTGTTCCAAAAGGGACGTCCGGAGCAAGATGGGAGCTGGGGGCCGGCCTCTAAGTCTCAGGAAGAGGCTTGAGGCTCAGGCGGATGGGCGTGGGGGCAGGGCGTGGAGACTGCAGGGTCTGCCAGGGGTCTTGGAGAAGGGGATCCTTCCCGGTGGGGCTAGCAGGGAACCTGCCTGGTGGCCAGAACCTGGGGCCAAGTTGGGCAGGTCTTCCCTGGAGTGGCTGGTGCCCAGGGATGGGGTCTGGGGCAAGGAAGGGTACTCACCAGTATTCCAAAAGGGAAGTCCGGAGCAAGATGGGAGCTGGGGGCCGGCCTCTCCTGTATTTCTTAATTATACATTACAATTTCAAATAAGCTCCACAAACATAATACCTTAAACAAGAGTAAAAATATACGTACAGTATAACAAAATTAACTTTAAATTTGTATCAATAAACTAAGATCCATAGCAACATAAAACATTTTAAACAAGTTGTTACTCTTTATCCTACCATATCTATAATATCCTCCTTTCTTCTTTAGAAAGATTGCACTTATACTCAACCCCCTTTTAAATAAAAATTAACATTTACAAACAATATTTTGGGAATTTGGGTGTAGCTTCTCATACTACTTCCTGCTGGATAGGGGTACTGGCAATCTTACAGGGATCCTGAGAAAATTAAGAATTATAGTCAAGTCCTGACTGGAGTAGTCTGTGAGGCTGCATTGTCTGAACCAGTTGCCTTGAAGCCATTCTGGATGTTGGATCATCTGGGCCATAGTGTCATCGGAGTCCTTTCAGGGGGTCTTCCTTGATCAAACCATCTTAGCTTGGAAGCAGCCCACAGGTTCTCATCTTCTGTGGAAACAAAAGCAGAACCTCTTTTCCAAAGCAACATATCCTTAGACATAAATTTTGAAGTCGAGATACTTTTAAATATATATTGGTTTAACTGAGCAGCCTTTACAATCAAATGTCTTTCTGCAGTTAAAAATCCCAAAGACAATATAATCCAGACTCTGTGTGTGATTTCCATCTTTACATGGCTTATTTTTTACATAATTTTACTGTCTCTTTAAAAGACTTTATTTTTTAAAATTATCTATTTCTTTATATAACTGCATATACTCCTTTTTCTCTCTCTTCCAAGCCTACACATATTTTTACATAAAATGTAAACCATTTAGAGGTTTACTCCATCTGAATCTATCTTTTTGTGAATCTGTTGCTTTAAACTGTAGCACAATTAGGACTGAAATGGCAGCATTGGCTGCTGGCTCTGCCCACTTCAGCTTTCCAACCTGGCAGAACTAAGTTTACCACCAGCTGTGGGGGAACCATGCTCACTGCCGACTCTGGGTAGCAGTGGGTCTATGATTCCATCTAGTAGTATGTAGCCCCAAAACCTTTTCTTTCTTTCCCTTTTTTCCCTGTACTAGCAAAAGCTATATCCACCATGCACCATGCTGCACAACTTGCAGACACCACTGTGTATAGTGGCAGGAATCTGCCATGCTACACTCAAGCCCATACGCCCACGAACCCACCATGCTGTAGCTCAAGTCCGCACGCCATGGTGTTTCTGTTCCTTGGTGTGTCTATATCTCGACCTGCATGAGACATGAAGTAGAAAGCTGCTTTTGGCTTCATTATTGTGTGTTTAGAAGCCCTTTTAAACTCTTTTAGGCTTCATGGAAATTCGAGAGCTCCACGTTGGTACGCCAAATGTAGTTGGAAGATTTTTCTGGTCCTGCTCAGCCCTGTGGTCCTGAAGCCACTTATAAAATAATCACTCAGAAGCTTGTATTAATTATAACTGCTTGGCCATTAGCTCAGGCTTATTGCTGACTAGCTCTTACATTTAAATTAACCCATAATTCTTATCTATGTTTAGCCATGTGGCTTGGTACCTTTTCTCAGTTCTGCCTTGCCATCTTTATTCCTCTGTGTCTGTCTGGCTACTCCTAACTCAGCACCTCCTCTTCCCAGAATTCTCCACATCTGCTTACCCCACCTAGACTTTCTGCCTGGCTACTGGTCAATCAGCATATTATTAAACCAGTGTACAAAAGCATTATCCCACAGCAGCCCACTCCTCAAGGAGGTATGCCAATCTATGCCACATAGTGAAAGATGGCCATGGTTGAATATCCCCCCAGACATGTTACCTTTAGATGAAACAGTCTTAGTTGTATGTCTTTTCATCTGTTTCAGGGACAATGCAACTGCTAGCATAGCAAGAAGTCCTGCCATTCCACACCACCAAAGGAAGGGGTGGAGGTACCAACACTCCCACTGAGGTTGCTCCATGCAGTTGCATGTTTCATCACACACAGCTGAAACAATACGAATTCAACTATGTCCTTTTGTAAAATGCCGTATTGTTACTTGTTTTGTTTTCTCTTCTCTGAGTAGAATAGAGGAAAAAGTCTTGAAGAGAAGGCTGGTTACTAAGAAGATACTTACAAAAAATAGAAGAAATATTCTTCCTAACTGCTAAGCAAATCTCAACATAGAACATAGAAAATAAGGAAAAACATAAGCAATAGGAAAAGGAAACAATTATTAAAGTGAAGGAATAGCCTATGGAATACAAGGGGATCTTTACCAGCTATTCATTTTCCAAAGTAGGAGTATCCAGAACAGTTAAAGAATTGAAAAATCAAAATAATAGGCCATTCAACCATAAATGAAAAAGTAAACAGCTCTAGAATGACCGATAAGAATATAAAAATGTTCACTGTTTATAGCAAATGAAGGAAATGCAAATCAAAGATAGAGATTCTGTCTTACACCAATAAGATGGCTGACATCAAGAAAACAAAGCCCAACAAATGCTGTTGAGGAAGGGAGATGGTGGGGCCCTTCTGTAGTGCTGGTGAGAATGTCAGTTACTTCAGCCAGTATGGAAATCAGTATGAGTAGCTTCAGAAAACTAAAAAAATAGAACTTTCTTTTAGTCTAGCTATGCTGCTCCTGGGTGTATATGCAAAAGAATCCAAGTCAGCATAGTAAAAATATCCCTACACCCGTGCTTTTTAAAGGTACTTTTCACAATGACCAAGGTATAGACTCAGTCTAGGTGTCAATCAGGATGAACAGATAAAGAAAATGTGTGGCATATATACGAAGTGGAGTTTTATTAAGACACAAGAAAGAGTAAAATCATCTCATCTGCACCAAAATGGATTGAGCTAGGTGATAATCAGCTTGTTAAACATAAAAATCTCAACTTAAACAGGCAAATAGCTCATGTGTTCCCCATGGATGGTGTTTAGTTTTTGAAAAAGACATAAAAGTAGAAGGCAGATTATCTAGGGAGCCATAAATGGAATGAAAGTGGTTGTGGGAGAGGCAAGTATGATAAAGATACCATGTGTCTGCATGGAAATGGCACAACAAGAATCTTACTGTTTAGAAAGTAAAGAAGTGATACCCTGCCTGTCAGCAGAAGTTACTTTCTAGGTAACATATGATCAGTTACTCTCCATCAGTTTCCTTTTTAACAATTTAAAGAAGTTAAATTGTTAGTTAAACTGTGGACTGTAAACAGAGTCTTTTCTTCTACGAGAAATTCATGGTTTCATTTTCACCGTCTAGTAATTTGTTGGAGTTCACTTTCATAAAAATGCAAGCAGCCTCTAGCTCTCTTCTTTATCTGTGGACTATTGCTTTAAGCGGCTCCTCCCACATGCCACTGTTTGACTTCCCAGTGAATAGTTAAGAAGCTGTCACATTTTGCTGACCTGTAGCCCATGCAATCAGAAGGCTGAAGACCTGCTTAGGTGCATGAGTAACAAGCTATGAGTTCTGTATCTCAGCGTGTGGCACTAAACGATGGTCACTTCATCCCTGTACTGGGGTTCGGAACCACTGTGCCTCAGAAGGTAACAATTGTGTCTTGGGGTTAAGGGTTTATAAAAAAAAAAAATCAAGGATGTGTGGAAACTGAAGGGGACTTTCAGATTTGCTCCTGTGTGAAGCAAACTCACAGAATCTAGCCACATGTGATACAGAAGGCAGTCTTGTAACTGTTCCTTGGGGACTTATGTGGACAGTACCATTTATTCTGGGCTCTGTTTTTGCTTTAGTTTCAGCCTGTTGGGCAGTAAGTGGAAAGCAGCTATCAGTGCAACTGTTATGCTTTGAGTTTAATTACAACGGGATTAGTGACATGGATTATTTCTGTGATTCAAATAATTACTCCTCTCTATTAGATAAGATCCAGATAAAATATTTTTTGGTAGAATTCACTAGAGATACGGCTTATGAAAAATGATGAGCTTATTGTGTTCTGCTGATAAGCAGGGACTGAGCATCACGGTGCAAATTCCAGACCTATGATGAAATAAGTTTTATTTTCTACTTTCACTACAGAAACACTTATCTAAAAAGAAAATAAAACATTTTATGGGTGTACTATACTTTAAGAAAGCACCTTAAATTCTTGCTCCACGTTCCTATTCATGACATTTGAATCAAAATACTATAGGAGGTTCTCATGGGAAAATGTTTCCATTCTCATTTTATCCTTTGCTTATTCAGTGAGTGGCAAGGGCTATTACTTAAAGCTAGAATCACAGTTTTCTCATGCAGAAGACATAATCACAGAGATATCTTTACCTCTTTTGATAGGAATTTTTATTCCTCAGCATACATAGCTTGAAAGAGAGGTAAGGAGCAAAGCTATTACAACATCTGCAGTCTCAGTACATCTGCACAGGTCAGTACAACCTTGAGAATTACAGGGCTGTGCTCAAGAGAGGCCAAAGGGAAAACTGTTGGAGCTGGAAAGATTGTTTAGTGGTTAAGAGTACTGGCTACTCTTGCAGAGGAATTCAAGTACCAGCAACCACACGGTGTCTTACAACTGTTTGTAACTCCAGTTCCAAGGCATCCAACATCCCCTTCTTGACTCTGTTGGCACCAGACAAGTGATGCATAAACATACATGTAGACAAAACTATCACACATATAAGAAGAAAACAATTTTTTAAATGGAAAACTCTCAAAGAAGATTATAATATTTTAGGAAGATTGATTGCATCAGACTGAGTAGGCCTGATAGATCTGTCTGCCTCTGCTTCCTCAGCTCTGAGATGACAAGTGTGTATGTACAGCCACACCCCATTTTTTACATGAGTTTGGGGGATCAACCTCAGGATCTCATCTTGGGCAACAAGCATTTTTAAAAACTGAGCCATTTGCCCAGTCCTAAAGCACACTTTAAAACATAGATTTAAGCATGGGCTATTAAGAGTAAGAATATGATACACCCAAGTGTAGGTGTGGGCTTTTCAAGATAATGCCACCCTTTTTTTATAGTAGCCATATATACCATTTAAGAGAAGTTATTATCTTCAAAGCATTGATAAGATATTTAAATGACTTCAGGGAGTGGTTTCTGAAGGGTACATGGCAGGATCACAACTGATAAAGTGAAACTATTTCATAGGGATCCATGAAACAAGACATCTTTATTGTACACAAAGTTAACAGTCTTGTTTGAGATACCCAGAAAATATGTGAGAAAATTAACAATGTCTCCAAGACATAGACATGCCAGGACTTAATCCAAATTTATTGCTATTTTAAGACAGTATATCTGAATATGAAAGGAATGCTCTAATATTATAGCCATCACAGCGCATGTTGCTAAATGTGCTGGAATTCTTGATTCTCAGCTGGTTAAGAGGCTTCAGACAGACAGACTCCAGGATGAGAGGCTCCTTTTTCTTCCTGTATCCTATCCTTATAAGTCTTCCTGTCTTCCTATACTGTCTATGAGTCCTTTGATCAAATCACTGAATGAGGGGATATTTTTCAGGAATTTTAGTGCCAGTTGTTTTTTAAAAATGATAAGCGGCACTGGTTACTGTGAGAAACGGTCATGAGGTATGAGCCACGACAAAACCCAGTATCAGAGCTTTATTAGGAGGAAGTGGGGGGACCAAAGGAACCAGGCCTGGGTAAAAAGCACACGCAGAGAGCAGAGAGAGGGACAGAGAGATAGAGATAGTGGGGCAGGAGAGAACAGAGCAGAAAGGAGGGGGAGTCTGTATCTGGTTCTTGAAGGATTCCCTTGCACATGTGCAGGTAGGCTTATGGAGGTACACCATGCATGCACTGATTGTGTGACCACGCTGCAGGCATATAATCACCGGTGTGCACTGATGATGTAAAACACAGGACTCCTTGCTTAGCTCCTGAACTGCACATGTGTGGTCATGCAGCTGGAGTGGGGGCAGAATCCTAACATTCCAGACATTTGCTTATTATAAAAAAGCGGGTGATCAGGAATAGGGGCATCGTTTCTCCCACAAAAATTGCTTCCAGCTGACTTGGTGGGTGTCAGTTGACTCTTGGGGGGATAGGGAAGGGGGACTTCTGAGGTAGACAGGTATCCTGGGATGGTGGGTTGTTGTCTGCCACCTCAGAGCTGTCTTTCCTGGCTTGGAACTCTTTGGCTGCTTGTGTTTGACAGGATACTGGTGAGACAGAGAAAAGCTTAGAAGAAAGAATTATTATTATTACTACTACTACTACTATTTTACGTTGGGTGTTCCCAGGGTGATAGAGGGGGTCCCAAGACCAGGAAAGTGGGTTTGGCACTTATCTGAAGTAGATCCGACCTGTCCAGATTCTGGAGCTTAGAAAAAAATTTGAACATATTAAGAAGCGGCCATGAGAAAGTTTAAAGTCTTGGGCTGGTGACCATTGTAGTGTTTGGTACTCTGCTTATATTGTTTAGTGCTAATGAGAGAGAGAGAGAGAGAGAGAGAGAGAGAGAGAGAGAGAGAGAGAGAGAGAGAGAGAGAGAGAGAGAGAGAGAGATTGGAACATGTTTTTTTTTAGTTAATTTATTTTATGTGCATTGATGTTTGGCCTGTATGTGTGTCTGTGTGAGGGTGTTAGATCCCCTGGAACAGGAGTTACAGACAGTTGTGAGCTGCCATGTGGGTGCTGGGAATTGAACCAGGGTCCTCGGAAGAGGATGATCCTCTGGAAGAGCAGCCAGTGCTCTTAACCGCTGAGCCATCTCTCTTGCCCTTGGAACATGTTTTTAATTTTTACCTGAGATGAGCCTTATCAGAGATAGATTATTTTAAGGTACCTGTTTCCTTTATTAGTTTAGCATCTAGGAGACACAGGTGTTCAATTGCTGAGAACATTTAACGGTAATGGATGGTTATATTAGAGTCTGTTTTTTGCAGAACCCAGACTTTTTTTGGTCTGGAGGTGTAAATACCTTTTAACTGCTTCTGTTCCTTACCACCTGAGTATATCTGATGGTCCTCAGCTCTATGGTGATCCTGTAACAATTAGCTGAGTAGTTAATTAGAAGAGGGAACGAGAAAGAGAAAAAACTTGTGGGGTGAGACCTCATTCTTCTGGAATTGGTGACAAGGCAGTGGATCCTGATGTCTTGAGAGAGAGCAGGGCCCTGTCTGTGTCACTGTGCATGGGAAGCACTACTGACTGGTCTGGAGTGAGGCACATGGAGGGAGCAAATGAAATGAAAACTGAAAAATCTTTTCCCATCAAGTGACCCTGAAAGTACAATTAAGTCTGGTGAGGTGGGTAAGGCTGTTCCCCTACCTCAACAATAGAGAAACAAGAAGGAGAGGTGGGACCTCAAAATTCCCTCAGGACTGATTAAGTGGCTCGGTGTCCAACAGGAAGAGACAGATCACCCCCATGCTGCATCCTGGGTTCCCTGCAAGCCTGTAGCCAAGCCTAGGAGGTCTGCCACTCCGTGCCTGGGGGCAGTCAGCTGACCAGTCTCTCTAGGTGGCACTTTGAACAAGGCTCAATTGATGACCCGGCAGGGCACCCACTAGCCTGTGTGACCTTCTAAAACAGGGACCTGGAAGCCCTTGTGCAGCTACTGGAATGTCATGTGCCAGCATTTGGCAATTCTGTTTATGGGTTTTTTTTCATTTCTCCCATGGCACACCTTAAATGCCACAGCTGAAACTTCTGCCTGTGGGGTCAGGAGCCTTGCTCTCCAAATGCTTAAGTTTTAGCCCTAATGTTAGGGAGCTCTGGGAGACAAGAGATAGATTTTATTCCATGTCTTGAATTTTTTTTTGATAGTTTGCTGGCTTGAGGACAGCTTTAGGATGACCCACTCTGAGGCAGGCTGTAAACTGATCTCTGGCTAGAGAGCCATTGGATTATTATGATCCCAATGGTTTGAGGACAGCATTAGGAAGATCTGAATTATGGCACCAATGTTGTTTTTTAAAAATGTCAAATGTCTCTGGTTACTATGTGGGAAGGTCATGAGTCATGAGCCATGACAAAACCCAGTATCAGAGCTTTATTAGGAGGAAGTGGGGTAGGACTAAAAGAACCAGGCCTGGGGAAGAAGCACATGCAGAGAGCAGAGAGAGGGACAGAGAGATAGAGATAGTGGGGCAGGAGAGAACAGAGCAGAGAGGAGGGGGAGTCTATGTCTGCTCTTTAAGGATTCCCTTGCACATGTGCAGGCAGGCTTATGGAGGTACACCATGCATGCACTGATTGTGTGACCACGCTGTGTGCACATAATCACCGGTGCACACTGATGACGTAAGACACAAGATCCTTTGCTTAGCTCCTGAACTGCACATGTGTAGTCATGTAGCTGGAGTGGGGGCAGAATCCTAACACCAGTGATGCAGTGATTGCTTAGGACTGAGGACATTTCAGGGACGCCCACCTCTGGGGCTGATGGGAAGAGATCCAGAAAAATTGGAATAGGCTCATTCCTACACATACAGAGCAGCTCCAAGAAGGAGAAGTTGATTCACTGGAAAGCCATTGTTTGTGTTTGAAATGTCTTCATTACACATGTACTATTTTTGGTTGCTCCTTTAGGTTCCTAAGAGTGAACTTATCAAGGCTACCAAAATAGCTATAGATGCTGGATTCCGGCATTTTGATTCTGCATATTTGTATGAGATAGAAGAGGAAGTAGGACAGGCCATTAGAAGCAAGATTGCAGATGGCACTGTGAAGAGAGAAGATATATTCTATACTTCAAAGGTATTTTGTACATGGGATGCTTGTGGGCATATTTAATGTGGCTGAACTGAGGAGACAATGTATGTTTGGATCAATACCTGTTTCATATATCATTACTTATTGGTATACATTTTATTCACACACATTCATGTATTGAAGCTAGGGATAAAAATAGATAAATATGTCTTCATTATCATTATAGAGTTAAAATTTATGACTTTCGTGTAAATAAACTGTTCTGAATCTCAGGTCAAAGCTGTGTAGTTCATCATGAAATGTAAAATGCAGCAGAGCTTGACCATGACTCCACGGTGAACATTGCTGAGGAAGTAAGGTGGAATTTGAGATTCAACAGAACCAGGGGACTGTAGGTTGTGCTGCTCTGGAGTGCCTTTACTGGCATTCTGTAGAGCTTTTATTCCAGTTACCTCAGGGAGAGAAACAATGAAAAACAGAGCCACGTCTCATCACCATCACCAATGTGCTCAGAAGGCAGAAGGTCATGGACAAATAGGGGCTGTTTGCACAATGCCCTTGAGCACACCAAGCTTCATTGTTGAGGAGCAGGGGAAAAGAGGACACATCTTTCTGAGACATTTCTTGGGCAGGCATTTATCCAAGGCTAGAAAACTAAGTTTTATGAGAACAGAGTTCACACAGAAGGATAGTATATGAAAGTATATTATATGCAGACTATAGTGTCTTAAGAACAATAGATCTAATATTAAAGCAATTAACAGATAGTTTATTTTGGAACCATTTTCAGTAACCATGGCTTAGGAACACAGGTTACCTCAAGTTCTATTTTCTAACATGGAAGCAGTTTCATGAAGTTTTTATATTTTTACAGAAAAAAGAAAGTCATAAATCAATGCACATTTAAAATACATTGGTGAGTACACCAGAGAGGCAAAGTAGGGTAAGATGAGGGAAATTTTCTACCGGCTTAACATGATATGGATGACATTCTTAGCTTTCGGATTAGTGGAAACTAGTAGTCTGATAAGTTAATATAGTCTCAATAGTTTTTGTCTATTAGTCACAAGATGCTAGTTCTCACACAGAGGTGAATGAGCAATGGCCGTTCCAGAGGGCTAGCCCAAGATAAGATAGTTAGCCTCTGGACCTGCAGCATTTTAATTGCACCACAGTGCTGAAGTTCCAATCAGCCAGTCAATCTCTGCAGACACAGCTTCTTTCCGGGAGTGCTTGTTCACTAAAGGCATAGCTAAAGTTTAATCAGTTAAGTTCAGCACACACTAATACACCTCCAAACGGGTTTTCCCATAACCTTCAGTTATGTACTAGTTCTTCCTGTGTTCTTGAATGGATGAGTGATTTAGACCAATCTTGTGAATTACTTTGTAAACTCAGCAGTATTATTAGAGAAAACAATTCTTTCTCTTTCAACATTCCATTCCACGTTCAGTAGATAAAAGGACAATAATAAAGTATATACTGATGTTCAGTTACATAGCTTGGTGGTAGGGCATTGGACTACACACACATTGAAGTTTATATGTGAAAACCCAATGGAGAGAAAGAAAAGCAGGGAGTGTATTTCCAACTGTAGGAAAATGTCTCCTTGTTAGATGAAGTAATCCAATAAAAGAAAGTGAACTCTTGAGTTTAAAGTTTCATTCTTTAACTTTGGCAGCTCTGGAGCACTTTCCATCGACCAGAATTGGTTCGGTCTTGCTTGGAAATGTCACTGAAGAAAGCCCAATTGGACTATGTTGATCTGTACATTATTCATTTCCCAATGCCTTTGCAGGTGAGCAATCACTGTGTTTAAAATTATTTCACTAATGATGCTCGTATAGCCAATAGTTATGTGGCAATTTAATATTTATATCCTTAGTTGAATGTATGGATTATTTTGATGAAAATCCTAAACAGTAATTCCCAAGTCCCATTTTATTGAGTTATTTTTCCAGCCTTGAAACACTACTTCCTGCTTGTGAAAGAAAACCTTTTGCATTAGAAACTTGGGAAAAACCCAATAACCATAGTTCAAGGCATAGTTCTTGTTTTTTTTTTTGTGTGTGTGTATGTGTGCGTGTGAGTTTATTTATACGCAAGTACACATGTGTGTGCTTGCACACGCATGTGTGTGCTTATTTTTATGAAGGACAGAAAACAGTCACTGGTGTTGTTCTTCAGATGCCATCCACAACTTGTTTGAGACAAGGTCTTTCCCAGGTCTAGAATTCTGAATAGGCTAGACTGAGTAGACAATTAGCCCCAGGAATCTACCTGTCTACATCTTCCCAGTCTTAGGATTGCAAACATGTACCACCACAGCTGGCTTTATGTTTTGTTTTCTGTTTATTGTTTTACATAAGTCCTGAAGGTCAAACTCAGGTCCTTAGGCTTTCAAGTCCAATGCTTTACCCACTGGGCCATCTTAGTCTTTTGAAGGTGTTTACATGCAATTCTGGAGATTGATAAAACTGCATACATATGCTTCACAATGAGGCGTTTTACATCATGTAAATACATGTAGATGATGTAAATACGCTTTACATCATCTCTCATCATTGAACTTTGGAAGCAGACCTGGTGGTACGCAGTCTGGGTAGGTGTTCTAGTTGGCTTTAGCTGTCAACTTGACAGGGCCCAGAGTCATCTGAGGGAGTCTCAGTTGGGGAATTGCTCAGATTTGCCTGAGGCCATGTCTTTGAGAAATTATCTTGACTGGATTGAGGTGAGAGAGATCACCCCACTGTGGGAAATGCCATCCCTCTGCAGGTGGTCCTGGCCTGTATAAGGCAGCTAGCTGATGAATGAGGAAGGGTTTGAACCTGGGAGCAGCATTCCTCTATGTTTTCTGCTTCAGTTTCTGCTTGAATCTGTGTCCTGACTTCCCTCAATGATGGATTGTGGTCTGGAAGTGTAAGACATTAAATAAACCCTTTCCTCTCAGGTTGTTTTGAATCATGATGTTAATAATAGCAACAGAAAGCCGACCAGAACATCTGGTTCTCATACTACCAGCCCTTGGAGACTTGGCGATTGAAGATTATTTCTCTTGATAATTTCATGGTGGTGGGGTTTTGTAGATGGCATTTAACAATTAATAACTGTGTTATGCAGATTTCTTGCTATAAAATTATGTGAAAAACTTAAGCTAGTTTGTGCAATGGAGGCTATTATGTTACAAACTGGGAAGTTCAAGCCAGGACTACATTTAAAGGTATGAATACCATCAGCTTCAGAAGTATTTTCTCCATTTCTTATGCTGTTTATTTAGTTTGGGGTTTTAATTTGCTACTAGTAGAAGATATGGTCTTGTGGCAATTCAAAATTCATGGTTGGTAAAACTTGAGAGCTACTCTGGCTTTCTAACCCACTTTAATCCTGAAAAGAAAGTCTGACTGATGGCTCAATTTAATTGTGCATGCCCTTTCATAATCATGTGTCCATTGTGAAAAGGAACTGTGTTGCTCAAATCATAATCCATTTTTGCCAGATACTAAATCCATATAATGCCTGGATTTGCCAAAAAGAAAGAAGCATTTTTCTATAGGGAAATACAGGGGCTGAAATAATAATTGAAGTCATACAGGACACCATTAGGACTTTGAGAAAAGCATCTATTAAGCATAAGGAAAATATAAAAGATTAGGATATGCCAATCTTTAAGTTTAGTCCCTTTTCACTGAAAATATCTAAAGTAATGTCCTACTTACTGGGGAAGGCTTCATGGCCCAGACTCTGGAGTAGTTGGCAGTGTGACCAAATGTGGTGACATGACTTTCAATGAAGTCTTTAAAATGAATGATTCTATTGCAGCCTGGAGATAAAGTTATTCCAAAAGACGAACATGGAAATCTGTTGGTAGACCCTGTGGATCTCTGTGACACATGGGAGGTGAGTCCTTAGAGGAAAGGACACAGATTGTGAGAGGATGAGTCAGGTATTACCTCCATGTGTGAGAACAGAATACATGTGGCTCAATCTAGAAGTGTGTAGCTTTCACAAGAGGGGTTTTGATGGAGTTATTGGGGAAATCATGGCTGGAAAATAATAGTAATGGAGAAGAACTGAGGGCATGGGCTTAGGAATCTCTTTCCAACCAAATGTTGCAATGTTACCCATTTCTTATCTGTCCGTCCATACAACCCAGCCACCGTTTCCTCTCCCTTCTCTCCACCAAGTCCCTCCCAATCATCCCTGCCTCTGCACCCCCCCCCCCCCCACCCCATCCACTCTTTCTCTGATTTTGTTTAGAAAAGGGCAGGCCTCCCATGGACATTGACAAAACATGGCATATCAAATTGTGGTAAGATTAATCACCTCACCTTGTATTAAGGCTAGGCAAGGCAACCCAGTATGAGGAATAGGTCCCCAAAAGTCAACAAAAGAGTCAGAGACAGCCCCTGCTCCCACTGTTAGGAGTCCTACAAGAAAACAAGCTACACACACAACTTTCATATATATGCAGAGGGCCCAGGTCAGTCCCATGCAGGCTCCCTGGTTGTTGGTTCAGTCTCTGTGAGCTCCTATGAGACCAGGTTAATTGACTCTTTGGGTTTTCCTTGTGATGTCCTTGACCCCTCTGGCTCCTACAATTCTCCCTCCATCTCTTCAGCAGGATTTCCAAGCCTGGCATTATGTTTGATTGTAGGCACTGCATTTGTTCCCATCAGATGCTGGATGAGGTCTCTCTGATGACTATTGGGATAGGCACTGATCTATGAGCATAGGAAAATATCATTAGGCATCATTACATTGACTTCCTTTCTCTCCAGTCATGTTTGGTTCTATCCTAGGTCTCAGGGCCATCCAGCCTCTGGGTCCTGGTGTTCCAGGCAGTGTCAGGGGTGGGCTCACTATAACTCTCCTGGCATGAGTTTCAGACTGGACCAGTCATTGATTAGCTACTCCCATAATCTCTGTATCACCCTTATTCTAGCACATCCCATAGGCTGGACAGACTATAGGTCAAAGGTTATGTGGCTGGGTTGGTGTCCCAATCCCTCCACTGGTATTCTTGCCTGGTCACAGGAGGTTGCATATCCCCTTTTGCTAGGAATCTTAGCTGAGGTCATCCTTGTAGATTTCTGGGAGTTTCCCTTGCACCAGGTTTCCACCTACCCTGGAATGGCCCCCCTTAAGTCCACTCTTTCAGTACTCTCCCTCCCACATGGCCCTCACCTGATCCTTCATGTTCCCATCCCTACCTGACCCCAGTCCACCCATGAAATCTCTTATATTTCCCCTTCCCAGGGAGATCCAAGCATCTTCTCCTAACTTCCCTGGGTCTGTGAATTACAGCATGGTTATCCTTTACAGATAATATTTACTTATAAGTGAGTACATACCATGTTTGTCTTCTGGGCCTGGGTTACCTCATCCAGGATGATTTTTTTTCTAATTCCACCCATTTTCCTTCAAATTTCATGGTGTCACTATTTTTTAACAGCTGTGTAATAAATACTCCATTGTGTAAAATGTACCACATTTTCTTCATCCAGTCTTCAGTTGAGGGACATCTAGGTTGTTTCTAGGTTCTGGCTATTACAAAAAAATGCTGCTATGAACATAGTTGAGCAAGTGTCCTTGTGGTATGATTGAACATCCTTTGGGTTATGCCCAAGGGTGGTACAGCTTGGTCATAGATTGATTCCCAATTTTTTGAGAAACTACCACACTGATTTCCAAAGTGACTGTATGAGTTTGCACTCCCACCAGCAATGTAAGAGTCTCCCCTTTGCTGTAGGTTCTTTCCAGCGTGAGCTCTTGCTTATGTTTTTGACCTTAGACATTCTGGCAGGTGTAAGGATGTAATCTCAGAGTCACTTTGATTTGCATTTCCCTGACTGCTAAGGATGTTAAACATCTCTTTAATTGTTTTTCAGCCATTTGATATTTTCTGTTGAAAACTCTGTTTAGATCTGTACCTCATTTTTAGTTGAATTACTTTTTTTTTAATGTCTAGTTTCTTGAGTCCTTTATATATTTTAGAAATTGGCTCTCTGTCAGATGTGGGGTTGGTGAAGATGTTTTTCCATTCTGCAAGCTGCCATTTTGTCCTATTGATGGTGTCCTTTGCCTTACAGAAGCTTTTCAGTTGTATGAAGTCCCACTCATTAATTGTGGATCTTAGTGTCTGCTCTATGGTGTTCTATTCAGGAAGTTGTTTCCTGTGCCAATGTGTTCAAGGTTTTCCCCATTTTTTCTTATATCAGGTTCAGTGTATCTGGATTTATATTGAAGTATTGTTCCACTTGAACTTGAGTTTCGTGCAGGGTGATAGATATAGATTTTTTTGCATTCTTCTACATTCTGACACCCAGTTATTCCAGCCCCGTTTGTTGAAGATGCTTTCTTTTTCCATTGTACAATTTTGGCTTCTTTGTTGAAAATCAGGTGTCCATTGATGTGTGTATTTACATCTGTGTCTTTGATTCAGTTCCATTGATCCACCTGTCTATTTTTATGGCAATGTCATGTAGACTTTATTACTATAGCTCTGTAGTAAAGCTTAAAACCAGTGATGGTGATACTTCCAGAAGTTCTTTTATTGTTCACAATTGTTTTAGCTATCTTGGGTTTTTTGTTTTTCCATATGAAGTCGAGAATTGTCCTTTCAAGGTCTATAAAGATTTCTGTTGGGATTTTAATGGGGATTGGGTTGAATCTGTAGATTGCTTTTGGTAAGATGGCCATTTTTACTGTGTTTATCCTACTGATTCATGAGCATGGAGATCTTTCCATCTTCCAATATCCTCTCAAATTTCTTTCTTCAACGATCTGAAATTTTTGTCATAAATGTCTTTCATTTGCTTGGTTAGAGTTACACCAAGATATTTTGTATTATTTGTAGCTATTGTGAAGGGTGTGGTTTCCCTGATTTCTTTCTCAGCCTGTTTATTGCTTGTATATTGGAGGATTACTGAATTTTTTTTTTTTTAGTTAATCTTGTATCCTGCCACTTCACTAAAGGTATTTATCAGCTGTAGGAGTTACCTGGTGTAATTTTTGTTGCTTATGTATACTTAAATATCATCACAAATAATGATACTTTGACTTCTTCCTTTCCAATTTGTATTCCCTTGATATCTTTCAATTGTCTTATTGCTCTAGCTAGAACTTCAAGAACTATATTGAATAGATATGGAGAGAGTGGACAGCCTTGTCTTGTTCCTGATTTGAGTGGCACTGCTTTGAGTTTCTCTCCATTTAATTTGATGTTGGCTGCCAGCTTGCTGTATACTGCTTTTATTATGTTTAGGTATATACCTCATAATCCAGATCTCTCCAAGATTTTTATCATGAAGGGGTGTTGGACTTTGTCAAAGGCTTTTTCAGTATCTAATGAGATGATCATGTGTTTTTTTTTTTGGTTGTTCAGTTTGTTTATATGGTGGATTACATTGACAGATTTTTGTGTGTTAAACCATCCCTGCATATCTGGGATGAAGCCTACTTAATCGTGGTGGATGATCTTTTTGATGCATTCTTGGATTCGTTTGTGAGTACTTTATTGATATTTTTGTATCTATGTTCATGAGGGATGTTGATCTGTAATTCTCTTTTTTTTTTTGAGTCTGTGTGGTTTGGGTATCAAAGTGACTGTGGCCTCACAAAATGAATTTGGCAATGTTTCTTCTCTTTCTGTTTTGGGAAATAAGTTGAGGGATATTGGTATTAGCTCTTCTTTGAAGGTCTGGTAGAATTCTATGCTGAAACCATCTAGCCCTGGGATTTTTTTGGTTGTAAAAACTTTAATGAGTGCTTATATTTCCTTGTGGAATATAGGTCTATTTAAATTGTTCATCTGATCTTGATTTAACTTTGGTAAGTGGCATCTATCAAGAAATTTGCCCATTTCTTTTAGATTTTCCAATTTTGTGTAGTATAGGTTTTTGAAGTATGACCTTGTGATTCTTTGGAGTTCCCCCTTTGTTTCTGATTTGTTTAATTTGGATTTTCTCTCTGTGTGTTTTAGTTAGTTTGGATGAAATTTGTCTATTTTGTAGATTTGCTCAAAGAACTAACTTTTTGTTTCATTGATTCTTTGTATTATTCTTTTTATTTCAATTTTACTGATTTTAGCCCTCGGTTTGATTACTTCTTGCTGTACACTTCTCTTGAGTGTTCTTTTTGTTCTAGATCTTTCAGGTGTGCTGTTAAGTTACTTGTATGTGGACTCTCTAACTTCTTTATGTAGACACTTAGTGTTATGAACTTTCCTCTTAGCACTGCTTTCATTATGTCCTATAAGTTTGGGTATGTTGTGCATTCATTTTCATTGAATTCTAGGAAGTCTTTAATTTCTTTCTTTTTTTTTATTCCTTGAACCAGTGGTAATTCAGTAGAGTTGTTCAGTTTCCAGGAGTTTGTAGGCTCTCTATTGTTTCTGTTGTTGTTGCAATCCAACTTTGATCCATGGTGGTTTGATGGGATACATGGGATTGTTTCAATTTTCTTATATCTGTTGAGACTTGCTTTATGCCTGAGTATGTGGTCAATTTTGGTCAAAGTTCTACGAGATGCTGAGAAGGTATATTATTTTCTGTTTGGGTGTAATGTTCTGTAGATATCTCTTAGGTCCATTTGAGTCCTATTATTTAGGACTATTATTTCTCTGTTTAGTTTCTGTCTGGATGACCTGTCCATTGGTGAAAGTGGAGTGTCAAAGTCTCCTACTATTAATGTGTGGGGTTCTTTGTGTGATTTAAGTTTTAGTAATGTCTCTTTTACAAATGTGGGTACCCTTGCATTTAGGGCATAGATGTTCAGAATTGAAACATCATCTTGGTGGCTTTTTCTTTGATGAGTTCATCTCTTTCTATTAATTTTGATTTGATGTCTATTTTGCTAGCTATTAGGATAGCTACACTGAGTGCTTGTTGGGTCCATTTGATTGGGAAATCTTATTTCAACCCTTTATTCTGAGATAATATCTTTGATGTTGAGGTGTATTTCTTGTATGCAGCAGAAGGATGGATTCTGTTTTCATATCCATTCTGTTAGCCTGTGTCTTTTTATTGGCATACTGATTTCAATGATATTGAGAGATATTAATGACCACTGATTGTTCCCGTGTGTGTGTGTGTGTGTGTGTGTGTGTGTGTGTGTGTGTGTGTGTGTGTGTTTCCCTTCTTTGGGTTTTGTTGCTGTGAGATTATCTATTCCCTGTGTTTGGGTACAGTTAACTTTCTTGAGTTGGAGTTTTCATTTTAGTACTTTCTGAAGGACTGGATTTGTGGATAGATACTGTTTAAATTTTGCTATGTCATGAAATATCTTGTTTTCTCCATCTGTACTGATTGAAAATTTTGCTGGGTATATTAGTGTGGGCTTGCATCTGTGTTTTCTTAGAGTCTGCAAGACATCTGTCCAGGTCCTTGCTTTTAAAGTCTCTCTTGAGAAGTTGTGCATTATTTTTATAGGTCTGCCTTTATATGTTACTTGGCATTTTCCCCTTGCAGCTTTTAATATTCTTTATTCTCTGTGTTTACTGTTTTGATTATTATGTGACTAAGGGAATTTCTTTTCTGATCCAATCTGTTTGGTGTTCTGTGAGCTTCTTGCACCTTTATAGGTATGTCCTTATTTAGGTTAGGGACATTTTCTTCTATGATTTTGTTAAATATATTTTCTGGGTTTTTGAGCTGGGATACGTCTCCTTTTTCTGTTCCTATTGTTCTTAGGTTTCATTTTTTTCATGGTGTCCCAGATTTCCTGGATGCTTTGTGTTAGGATATTTTTAGATCTACCATTTTCTTTGGCTGATAAATTTCTTCTATTGTATCTTCAATGTCTGAGATGCTCTTTTCTATCTATCTCTTAAATTCTGTTAGTGGTGCTTGCATCTGTATTTCCTTAGCTTACCCTTATTTTCCATTTCCTAAATTCTTTTTTTTTCCCCCCCGAGACAGGGTTTCTCCATGTAGCTTTGCGCCTTTCCTGGAACTCACTTGGTAGCCCAGGCTGGCCTTGAACTCATAGAGATCTGCCTGGCTCTGCCTCCAGAGTGCTGGGACTAAAGGCGTGCGCCACCACCGCCCGGCCCATTTCCTAAATTCTTGAGTCTTGAATAGTTTTCTCTACATTTTTTTCTGTTTCTTCTTAGCTTTCCTGGCATTCTTTAAGGGACTTGTTGATTTCCTCCAATATTTTGTTTGTTTTTTTTCCTGGAGTTCTTTATGGGAGTTTTCATCTCCTCTTTAAGGACCTCTATCCTCACTATAAGGATTGTTTTAAGATTGTTTTCCTGTGCTTTGGCTGTGTTGGAATATTCAGGGCTTGCTGTAGTGGGATGGCTGGGCTCTGGTGGTGACATACCACCCTGGTTGTTGTTTGTGTTTTTACACTTACTTTTAGGCATCTAGATTTGAAATGATTATAGGTCTAGGTTGCCAATTTCTGGATTTGTCTTTGTTGGGTGAATGTTTTCTTCCTCAATTTTTGTTTCCTCTCTGGTCTTCTGGCTCCCATAGCCTGTGGTTGAGTAGAGGGTCTCTGTCCACGTTGGGGGCTTAATTCTGATGTCCTGAATTTTCTCTCTGATCCAGCAGTGGGTTGCTGCCCAAGTTTGGGGCTGACATTCTGGTTAGGTTTGTGCATGGCTTCTGATCTTGCCAGGGGTCTTCTGGGATTCAGATGCTGGCCTGGCTTCTGGTAAGATAGGATGCTTCTGCCTGGTTTTCAGGTAGTTCAGCTGGTCTTTGGGGTTCAGGATGTGGTCTGGCCTCTGATGGGGTGTAAGTCTTTCACCAGAAGTGTTGGCCAGGATTTGGTGGTAAGGAGAGGAGGGACAGTTGAAGTTATGCTGGCATAGCCCAGGTGCAGTGGGGAGCAGACTTTTCTGGGTTTTGATGTGCTGGCCTTCCTCTGGGCAGTGGGGATCAGGGGGCAAGGAGAGGATGGGCACTTGGGCTTATGGTGGGTGGGGCAGGCAAGAGTTGGGTGGGGTGGTGGTTTACTTGGGCTTATGGTGGGTGGGGCAGGCAGGAGTTGGGTGGGGTGGAAGGCTTCTGCCAGAGGTGTGGGCTGGGATATGGTGATGAGGAGAAGAGGAGCAGTTGGAGTTGTGGTGGTTTTCAGGAAGCTGGCCTGGCCTCTCATGTCACCTGTTTCTTAAGGACACAGGAATTGTTTCTTGCTTTCACTTCCTTTGCTCCTTATTTTTCCCAAAAAATTCTCCATCTCTAGACAGTCAAAGCCAGTAGCTCCCCCAGCATTGTTTGAAAGCATCCCTTTTAACACCACTTTTTGGAACAACTGCACAATTTATCCTTCACTATCTCTCCCACCACAGGCCATGGAGAAGTGTAAGGATGCAGGGTTGGCCAAGTCCATTGGGGTGTCCAACTTTAACCGCAGGCAGCTGGAGATGATCCTGAACAAGCCAGGGCTCAAGTACAAGCCTGTGTGCAATCAGGTGAGCCCTTTCCACTGCTTGACATTTTATGCCTAAATTTGTTCATATCCATGTGTTGTCTAGTCCTGTCCATTTTACCTTCATGGGGTGGAAATTTTAAAAGTGGAATCTTTCTGAGAGGACATAGAAGTCCCTTCATTACAACTATGAAAAAGACAGTGGACCATTAGGGCTAGCTCAGGGCTAATTGGATGTAAGAAATAGATCAGGGAAAGATAATCAAAGGAGGCAGTAGTCATAGTGAGGTCATTGAGAAGAAGATGTACTTCTTCTCCGTCTATGAGAAGCAATTGGATGAAGAAAGAAAGATGCTGTGGAGGGGACTGTGTACAGAAAGAAAGGTCCTGGGAAGACAGTGTAGGCAGTAAAGAATTAGGGAGCCAAAGTAAAAGATCAACAAAAGTACAATCATGAATGTTAGATCGCTTGTCCTGAGTCCTGACACCTCTGATTTCAGGTGTATTAACCACAGTCATAGCTACAGGGAAATTAACTGGAAGCTATCAAATTCATCCAGATTTGCGAGATATCTTACTTGGCTATGGTGAACTCATGATGGGAATTTTGGGCAGAGCACTTTGAGCCTTTTCACATATGTCATAGTCTACTCCTTCCTGTTTCCTGACAGCAGCAAATCAACTGTTTACACACACACACACACACACACACACACACACACACACACACACACACACACCAGCACATATGTGGAAGTCAGAGAATTATAGGAATTGGTTGGTTCTCTTTTTCCACCACGTGGGTCACAGGAATTGAAATCAGGTCATCAGGCTTGATGATAAGTGCTTTAACCTGCTAAGTCATTTCACCAACCCCTTTTACTTTTCTTACATGATATTTTGCTAAAAAATTTTTTTTTTTTACAAATCAAGATAAAACTCAATTTTAGATGAGATAATGTAAATATTAATAGTTTGCCTTTGACTACCAACGTTTTGACTGAATTATCATAGTGAGAATCAGCATGAGCAAATGGATTTGCTTGCCCTTTTCCTTTTCTCTCTGTATTTTCATGGACTTACAGATTTCTTACATTGATATGAATCCTACCAAACTAGTTCTTTTGTCTTCACACAAGCCATCATGAGCCTTTGGCCAAATTCATGTTCTACTGTGATTTAGTCTCCAAATTTGCAAGAATACTTCCCCTATTCCCACTATGGAATTTCTCAAGCCTTCATGAGGTGGAAAAGATTATTCAGCACCTAAGAGCTGGTCCATAGAATTATTTCTTCTCAGGTATATATTTAAAAATGTCTTTCTATAAGAAAGAGGAATTAAATTTATTTTGTTAAAATGATTGTTACTTAATGTTATTTTTTCACTTCAAATTTCATGTTATACTTTTTAACAATTCAAGTTCTTTCATTTTGATGTTTCCATTTTGTATTAATCAAAGCTTCATATAATCTGATTGTTTTTTTATCAGGTAGAGTGTCATGTTTATCTGAACCAGAGCAAAATGCTGGACTATTGTAAGTCAAAAGATATCGCTCTTGTTGCCTACTGTACTTTGGGAAGTTCACGAGATGCAGTATGGTAGGTAACAAAGACAACAGTGAATCTCAACTGTCTTGTTGAAATATATTTAGTTCTGTAACAACTTTCTAGATTAACTCTCAACTGCCTTAGAGGGGCTGGTATTTAAATTTCTGAGAAGCCCCGAGATGACGTTGACTCTAGTGGGTCAAGGAGAACAGTTGTATATGTATGGTCTGGAGTATGTACTGTCCTGTAAGCCTCCTATCATTAAGGTAATTTGAACTTCTGGAATTCAGTATTTTACCTTCTTTTCCAGGGTGGACCAAAAGAGTCCAGTTCTCTTAGATGATCCAGTTCTTTGTGCCATGGCCAAAAAGTACAAGCAAACACCAGCGTTGGTTGCCCTTCGTTACTTGTTGCAGCGTGGGATTGTAGTCCTGGCCAGGAGTTTCAATGAGAAGCGGATCAAAGAGAACATGCAGGTGATGACAGAGCTGTAAGCCTTGAAACATCTGTGAAATATCCTGTCTTAGTTAGGATTATTATTATTGTCATGAAACATCATGACCAAAAGGAACTTGGGGAGCAAAGGGCTTATTAGGCTTATGTTTCCACATCACAGTTCACCATCAAGGGAAGACAGGACAGGAACTCAAACAGGACAGCAACCTGGAGGCAACAACTGATTCAGAGGCCATGGATGAACACTGCTTAGTGGCTTGCTCCTGTTGCCTTGTTCAGGCTGCTTTCTTATAGAACCCTGGGCCACCAGCCCAGGGATGGCATTACCCACAATGGGCTGTACATCTACCATCAATCACTAATTAAGAAAATACATTACATCTGGGTATTTTGGAGACATTTTCTCAATTGAAATCTGTCCTATCAGATAACTCTAGCTTTTGTCAGGTTGACATAAGACTAGTCAGCACATATCCTTAACATGAGTCCTTTGTGATCTCTCATGGACATCTTTGTGCTTCTTAGCCTCTTTTGAAATTATATTTATTTGTGGTGTGTGTGTGTGTGTGTGTGTGTGTGTGTGTGTGTGTGTGTAAGTGTGTGCAGGTCAGGTGACAGCTTTTTAGGAGTTCACTTTTCTTTCCACTATAGATTTCAGGGATTGAATTCAGATCTTCAGGCATATGCCACAACTGATATTATTTGTTGTCCCATCTTGCTGTGGATTGAGTTTTCTCATTTGCATGACAGTGAGGCTTCTCTATTGATGGTGCTGATGTAGAACTGCCTAAGCTCTCCTTCATTATACCTTTATTTTTATTCTTTCGCTAACTAGCTTAGGTTGCACTTCATTATACATCACAATTGTTGTTGGAATGGAGTAGTCTAGAGATGTCTGCTGTTTCCTGTCATCTGTAAGATCACTTAAAAAATATTTCTCTCTCTCTCTCTCTCTCTCTCTCTCTCTCTCTCTCTCGTGTGTATGGACATGATATGGTGTGTGTCTGGATGTGAGAGAACAACCTTGGGTGTCAGTTTTCACTTTTCACCTTGTTTGACACAGAGTCCCTCTTGTACATGGCTGACATTGGGTTAACTGGATGTCCTAGTTAGTTTTCTGTTGCTGGCTTAAAACCATGACCAAAAGCAACTTGGGTTGGAGGAAAGGGTTTATGTGGCTTACACTTAAACATCACAGTCCATCTTACCTTTAATAGTTTTATCAGCTGTTCAGATATTGATTTTCTGTTGTCTTCTACCACATTCTACAGTAATATAGTAGTATTCATAAAATCATTAGTCTAGATGTGTTGGGGCCTAGTGATAATAATTTTCATGTTTAATCTATCTCTAATTTAGTCAAGATCTTTTTAAGCCAGTTCCTATGCTCTTTCCTTATGACTTCATTCACATTTGAAATTTATAAATTAAAATATATAAAACTTATTTTCTAATTTCTAATGGGATGTAGGAGTCTCTGTCCATACATTTTACTAAATACTATTGTTAAAATTCAGTTTTTAAAGTTTTTTCAGTATTTTAAGTTCATATGTTTCAATAACATCATCTCTGTTTCTTTCCTAATTTTTCCTTGGTTTGTAGTTGTGTGGTTTAATCTCTTATATAAGAACATGGCTTTATTTCTTTTCCACCTATTATTCCTTAATAGTTTGAATGCTTTGCTTGATATCTTCAAGAGACTTGGGACATGTCTCCTGTGTTTTCAATATTGCCTCTGCACTACTCTGTTGAATTTACTTGGATTTCCCAGATTGGCAATATGGAATATGAAAGTAATAAAATTTCTACTTCTGTGATAGGTTTTTGAATTCCAGTTGACTTCAGAGGACATGAAAGTCCTAGATGGCTTGAACAGAAATTTAAGATACAATTCTGGAGATTTGTAAGTATCTTTGATCAGTACATTGCTTCAATTTGTTTTCTGAGTAGAAATGTGATGTGTTAAAAGTTACCTCGATATGAAGAAGACAAAGGCTAGTCTGAGTTAGGGATGAGTTGCTTTGGGAGTTCTTACAGATTGTCTCCAGAGCTCTGTTCTTTTGGTGGGACCAGGGTCAGCTTGACTTCCACTTGTACCCTCTGTACTTCTCAGTTCCCTGAAATTTTTAGATAATATAATGCCTTTGTTAAAACTAAAGCTCCGTGTAGGCTTCTGTCTTCTACAGCTATGTCATGGGACATATACTTTGCCATATAGCTGAATTAAGTATTTCTAAACGTGAGCTTATGGCACCTGCTCCCACATTTCTCAGGTTTTTTTTTTTTGTTGTTGTTGTTGCTAACCAGATCAAAGTCATTTGTTTCAATAACATGGTCTTAGACTCTTGTATCTACCCCATATGGAATTGTTAATTATACCTTGTCAATTGATTTTTTAATAGATTCAATTTTCTCAATTCATTTTCATGAACATTTGTTCAGAACTGAAATGCTACCTTTGTATAAAACCAGTTGGTCTGTGTGAGGTGAACAGAAAGTACTCTTTGGCATTTTCAGAAATACAGAGATCTCAGTGCAGAGAACAAAGACGTCTTAGATTAGTTAGCTAAGAAACCAAAGGAAGGTTTTGGAGACATTGTGGAAGAATTTGAAGCCAATAAATGGTGTCTAGTTTTCCTTCCTTTTGTAAAGTTGTGGGAATTGAGAAAAGACATATCCTGTAAATGGACAGAGGCAGGGTTGTGTATTTCTTCTGCCCATGGGGATTTAAATTCACAGTAGAAATAATGGAATGGTGTATAAAATGAGAATAGTTCTATTAAAAATTATATGTCCTCAAGAAAATAGCAGATAAACCATTAATAATCTTTTTATTAGTATAGAAAATGTTAAGAATTAGTGATAACGCAAAGATAGAGTGGAAAGCAGAGAGGAATTGTTGCTATCTTTTATATGTTTAATTATAAAGACTGAAAAGAAGATCTTTGTCAATTATATTTCATGTCACTAATAAAGTATGAACATCACCAAATTACAAACTATGCTTCTAGAATAAGGAATTCTAAATTCTTAAACTGGGCATGGTGGTATACAACTATAGCCCAACAGTGGGAGTTGGAGGCAGGAGGGTCAGAAGTTCACAATCATTGTCTGCTATATAGTGAGCTTGAGGCCAGCCTGGGATAAATGAGACCCTGTATAAAAGTTCCATTTATAAACTTAACATGTTAATTACCTGTATTAGTTAGGGTTGCTATTGCTGTGAAGAAATAGCATGATCAAAGCAACTTGGGAAGGAAAGGGTTTATTTCACTTACAGTTCCATACAACTGTTCCCTATCAAAAGCAATAAAGGTAGGAACTTAAGCAGGGCTGGAACCTGGAGGAAGGAACTGATGCAGAAGCCATGGAGGAGTGTTTTCTTACTGGCTTGCTCTACATGGCTTGCTCAGTCTGCTTTCTTATAAACCTCAGGACCACCCCCTCCCCCCCAGTGAACTGTGGCCTCCCACATCAAGCAGAAATTAAGAAAATACTCTATTGGCTTCCCTCTAGCTTGATCTTACGGAGGCATTTTCTCAGTTGAGACTCTCTCCTCTCAGATGACTCTTACTTGTGTAAAGCTGACATAAAATTAGCCAGTACAATATGTAAACACTGTATTTGATATTTTAAAAAAGTGAACTTTTTAGCAGTAACCAGTACACCTTAAACTAGCCTTTATTGCTGACCTACATTTGGACTTATTCTTCTTTAAAACAAGAAAGAATCAATTTCTTATATTAGGCATTCTTTTTTTCTAATTGTAGTTTTAATGGACATCCCAATCATCCATTTACTGATGAATATTAACATGGAGGCCCTTGTCAGAATTCCTACCAGAAGATCTGTTTTATGCATCATGATATGAGAGATGTCTTGGATACTGGCCATTGAACACATCATCACTTCTTATCAGACCAGCTTGTCTTGTCAATTCAGTCAGCTAGAGCTAAGTCCCCAGAGCTGTGTGGGAAGTCTGAAAGGCAACATCAAGATGTTTATCCCAAAGATTCTTATGTGTTGAAATATTAATTTATTTTTATTTTACATATATGAGTGTCCTACATGTATGTGTACCTTGTGAATGCCCGTGTCCATGGAGGGGAGAAGAGGGTGACAGATCACCTAGAACTAGAGTTACAGATGATTGTGAGTCACCATGTGGGTGCTGGAAACCAAATCTGAGTTTTCTGTAAGAGTAGCAAGCCTTTAAACACCTTGCCATCTCACCAGGCCCTACCCTAAAGATTCTTGCCTGCTTCTATTTCTGTGACATCAATTTTTTGTTTCCTTCTGACACCAACCTGATTTGCCTAGAAATCTTGGGCAGTAGGCTGTAGATGAGGAGAGTCATTTAACAGACATTTTTTGCTTGGAGTTGGAAGAACTTTCAACATTTAGGGAGTTAACAGTGAGAGATTACTGGTAAGTCAATAATCCTCAAATCCTTTGAGAAAGAAGAAAGTACTCTGAAGTTATTTTGTTCTTAGTTTGGAGGTGAGGCAGATGTGGTAGGGGTGATCTGGAGTCCCAGGGCTCCCTTCACCAGCCCAAGGACCAGAGTTCCAAGAGCATGGAGAGTAAGTGTTCCCTGTGGGAAGGTTGGGAGGTCAGTAAGAAGAGAGCTCATATAAAAGAATCATCATTTTTATAGATGTGGGGAGAGCAAGAAGAAAGCTGAACATGTTTCTGCTTGGGAAATATATCATCTGTTTTTGATAATTACATGTTACAGGTAAAGGGGAACTCGACATATTTTATCCAAGACAGAGAGCTAGACTTGATAATTGTATTTTCAAGGGTTTCAGCAGTTCTCTTATTGAGCTATGGTAGGAAAAGTCAATGGAAATGAATGTAAACTCCATATTCATCAAATTTTCTTAGATTTAAAAATTGATTTGTGAAACTTGATCTTACATGTTTATAGGTAAACCGGTTAGACTTATAGAATACAAAATATCTCATAGATATTAAATTGTGTTATGAAATTAATATTAAAAGGACATGTAATTGATGAGACAAATACTTTAAAATTTCAAAAATTATTTGAAATACTGTATTTGAGCCAGGACAATATTCGTTAATTTTAAAATTTGTAAATTGTTAAGTTTTAGCAATATCTTTTGCACCAAGAATATCTTAAAGAAATCAGAAAGGTAAGGTGATAGTGTTGTGTTTACAGAAGATTCAGAAGAATGTGGAGGTAAATAAAAAAAATACAAATATTGTTTACCTAGTTTGAAGCATACAGTTGGACTTATATATTTCATTAATAAATATCTCAAGTAAGAATTTTTTGAGACAGTTTCTCATTATATACCCTTTGCTGGTCTAGAACTTGCTATGTACACCATGCTGGCCTGGAACTCATAGAGATCCACCCACCCCTACTTCTAGAATGCTGAGATTAAAGGCATACCACTATACCTATATATTTGAAGTCTCTTAAAGGGAAAAATTATCAAAAAGCAATAAAATTACTAGTTACCTATTGATTAATCTAACAAAATGTGAATAGATAGCAAACTAAAATTCTATGTAATGTGTTGATAAAATGAAACTGTCCTATTCTTATTAATAAATGGAATAAAATATATATGTTATAATGGGGAATGTGAAATTTCTCTAAATGAATTTAACAACATATAAAAACTAGACATTTCATGGCCCTACCACAGCCAGGGTCTGTGTTGATGCTGTGCCTCCTGATACCATCAAAGTCTGATACCATCCAAGTCCATGATGATGCCAGGGGTCTGGGCTGTCACTTGGCGCCAAGGTGATACCAGAGCCCAGGCCGCTGCTGCGGACCATGTCTATGTCCTACCCCTCACTGGCCCTGGGATAACTGGCTGTGCCCCTAGTTGGACACTGTAGGCAGAGAGCTGGTCTACTCCCTATATGGGAGAGTTGGCCCCTGCACTCGGGAGAAATGGCCCCACCCCTCACCTGGGTCATGGGAGAACCGGCCCCTATGGCATAGGCTTGGGAGACTCTGCCCCTTGCCTGAAGGGGACAGTCCCTGTGACTAAGACCCACAAGCTCAGCTACCACCAAGACCCAGATCCTGGACCTTGGGTTTGCTCACCCTAACACCTACCCCATCTATGACCTGCTGGAGTTCGTGAAGGTACTGGTCCTGTGGAGCAATAACTACAGGACCTCCATGACTCAGGAACAGCAGGGTATCTGAGAGGAGTTTTGTTGTGTGTCCAGGGATGGTGGTGTGCCAGAGGCCTTAAACCAGACTTATAACTAATTGTAATGAACATTTTGCTGGTGGGGCTGATTGGACAAAAAGGTGTATTTTGTGACACACTGCAGGTCCCGAAGCCACTAGAATGAATGAAGAGGTACTGGAAAGATAGAGGAGCAAGGTGGGTTTTTTTCTGTTTTTGTTTTTGTTTTTAATTAATTGTTTTGGGAGGTTCCACTGGGAAACATGCTGCAAGGGTGAGGGGCAGATATAGAGGGCGTAGTAGGTGCATGAGGGATTGGGGTACATGATGTGAAATTCCCAAAGAATCAATAAAGAATTATGTTAAAAAAAAGAAATTATCTAATCATTTTCCAAGGTGGCTCTATCATTATATACCTCCAATAGCAATGAATGAGGGCATCTACTGCTGACAGTCTCCCAGCATTAGGGGTTGATTGTCAGCTTTCTGGAATTTGCTCATACTACTAATATTATCACCTCATTATTATTTAATTTACATCTCTCAAAAAAGAAACAAACAACAACAACAAACTAGACATTTATTTCATGTCAACAGATTCAATGTCAATAGGGTCAATGAGTCAGTTCTAAACCAACCAAAAGTTCCAATGCAATAGTGAATAAATGCTTAGGCTTACTCTTTCGTGGAAGTTGATTAGGTGGTTATAAACTTTACATAACATACTGATAAGTCAAAATAAAGTTACTCTTAAATTGAAGGAGTTATGGAGAAGTTGACTTTGAACATTATAAAGAGATTACAGAAATTAAATACATTAGGGCTGGAGCAATGGCTCACTCAGAACAGTGCTATCCTTGAAAGCATGAAGACCCGAGTTAGACCCCAGAACCCACACTTAAAAAGCCAGGTATGGTAATACACATGCTTGTAAATTTAGTGTTGGGGAGGCAAAGACAGGTGTATTCATGGCTTCCTAACCCACTTGGCAGTTTCCAGACCAGTGAGAGATCATGTTAATGAAAAAAACAAAAATAAAAACAAAACCCCAAACAGAAAAAAGGATGACACCTTAAAAATAACAACTAAGGTTGCCCTCTGGCTTCCACACAGCCACACATATGCAGACATGTATACAACAAAATTAAATATGCCAGTTAAAATGAGAGACACCAGTGTGCCAGAGAAGACAGGGCAGACGTTCCTTTATCCTGTGTTCTTGCTGAGGCCATTTTAGGTTTAACTAGAATTTGATCTCCTTGATGGGAAGCCCTGTTGAAAATTACCCAGCTCTACCCAGGAAACCGAAATCAATGCCCCAGCCAGCTCTGCTCGGCTTCTGTTAAACTGTCTGCTTGTACAAACCTCCCCCTGAAGCTGCCAAGCAAAAGAACAGGATATAGATTTTGTCTTTAAAAGCCCCTTATTCTAAATGCTTAGCATTACACTTGGGTCCTGAGAACCTGAGTGTAGTCTCAATTGGCTTGACTAGAGACTTTCAAATGGCTATAGACTGTCTGAGTAGTCTTCTTTGGAGGGTACCCCACAACAGCAGGAACATACTACTGTGGCTATGAATATTTGATATCTGACTGAACATGGCAGGTGTTTGGTGGAGAAGTGTTCATACGATCATTCCACTGCGCCAATAAAGCCACCCTGAATCAAAGGATGGAGTCGGCAATTGGCTGACTGGGATCAGTCATAGAGTCTTTGGAGGACCAAGGAGGCCTGATAGAGAGTGATAGGAAGAGAGAAGAGGGAATTTCCGGGGCCGGTGGATCAAGAAAAATGTGGAGACAGAGTCAAACGTGGAGAGAGGGTCAGAGTATTGACTCTCTGCTGTTTCTTGGATTTATCAGGTCTTTATTTCAATTTTTGACTCCAGAGTTTTTAATTATACTAGAACAATTTAGGTAAACATAGGTGTATATTTAGATAATTGTTTCACATATTAATGAGTGATGGCATAATTAAACATCTACTCAGCAGAAGACACAATAATAGTATGCAGACTTTGTGGCACCCCCCTGTATTGATAGCACTTGTAAGGCAAAGAAAGGAAGATCAGGAGTTAAAAGTCATCTTCAGCTATATGGCATGTTCAAGGCCAGCCTGTGAGCTACAGGAGAGCCTATCTCAATACACACAAAACCCAAAAACAAAACAAGAAATAAGCTGGGTGTGGTGACTCACACCAATAATCCCAGTAGTCAGGAGGCAGAAGCAGAATGAAGTGCAAATTTGGTGCTGGCCTGGAAAGCTTGCCAGCTGAGTTACATAGAGGCCGTTTCAAAAACCAAACTAAAGCTACACACACACACACACACACACACACACACACACACACACACACACACACACACAGAGTGGAGTATTTGTTTTAAAAAAAAGTACCATGTAAAAATGAACGTAGAAATTATTTGGGAAAATACCTCAATAAGTATTGCTGATGCTATAAGAGGATTAATATTTAGAATATGTAAATTTGGTAGCTTAATCATAAAGACTTCAGTTTCAGACCTACATAGGTTCTATTGGCCCAACTTTACCCTGGTGGCTGGTTGCTTTGACCACGCCAGGAGGGGGAGCTCATGCAGCCCAACCTCGCGATCACCATCGAGTGTCCTC